CCCAACAAAAACACAACCTTTCTCTGTGAATCAATAAAAAAATCTTCCAGCAGCATTAGACTTTTTGAGTAATTCAAGGAAATCTGCTTTTACAAATGATCATATAATCACTCGACAAAACAGGGACATTCTACTTTAAAGATAATAAACATGTGTGTGTCCATAGGAATGTGAGTGATGTTGCATGTGCAGCTTTCTGTGTGTGTGACGACATGCGTGTGAGAATGTGTGGGACTGTGTTATTGTCTGGGGATCTAAATCAGTCCAGCTGATGTCCATCTGGGCCCCGTGGGGAGTTAAAGGAGGAGCAGAAGGACGAGGGGAGGGAGTGAGACAAAGCTGAGGGAGTGTGTGATCGGGTGGGAAGCAGGCGGAGGGAAGGAGGGCGGGTTTGAGGTCACAGGGGGTCAAGAGACTGGAGACCCATTCAGGCCCCCCCCCCCTTCCACACATCTACGGGATCGTCCTGTTAAAAAGCTTCTTCTTCGCTACTCTTGTTCTCAGTTCTGGCTTCCTCTGAAACTTCTTCTGAGTCACATTTTAAAGTGGAACAGAGGTGACACATCATACATGATACATCCACATGTAAACAAAAAGCTTAGTCATAATAACTGATATTACTTCATTTCTTTATATTAATAATAAATAGGGACTAAGGACTGATTTGATTCCCACTATAAATTTAAATAAAATATATTTTGAATGTCTCAGTGAGACACATTGAAGTCTGGAGGATAATTTACTCTAATGATAAGTTCATGTAATGGCCATCCCTTTAATTATTTTTATTTGATTTCTGAGGAAATCTGATTTAATTTAATTTTGATTTAATTTGATTAACGTAAATGTCCCATCAACTCATTTTAAACAGCAGTCTGTTATCAGATTTTAAAGGGGACGTATTATGAAAAATCTACTTTGACAGTGTTTTTGAACATATATTTGGGTAACCTGAGAGTCTACCGACCCACAAAATGTGAAATAAATCCACCCAGTCCTTTGTTTGTGGTCTGCATAAGTTTTACAACACAGAGAAAAATGCTCTGTTGCCATTATGCTCTCCTCTGTGATGTCACAGGGGGATTTTGGTGAAAAAAAACCTCCCCTCCTGTGCTGTCTCCGGCAGCCATGTTTTTCTGACAAGTTGCCATGGAAGCTCAAAGCTGAACTCGTCTGTGGAAGAGAGGGGCGGGGTTAGGGGGGGGGCTCATTCCATTTAAAGAGACACACACACCAAAATGGAGCGTTCTGAGAGAGCTGGGTTATACAGGGTCACAAACCTCCTCTGGTGCTTGAGTCATGTTATATTTTGGCCAAAGCACAGGACAGATGTTTCATTGAGACCACATGGGACTGTTTGAAAATGTGGAACAGGGGTGTAATATGTCCTCTTTAAGGTTGTTTTTAACTTGCACGCAGCAGATTTTCCATATTGGCACTGACAAGCAAGTACACAGATATTAGTGCCTGAGGCCAAAACCACTTCCTGAATGCACAAGCTGGAGCTCCAAAAATACACACATGCTGTTTCAGGACCTTACTTCAGGAAATCAACATGTTAAAGAGTTTCTTTAAAATTCTTTACTTAACAAAGTAAACAAACAGTGTTCTAAAAAGTTTAATGTTTACAGAAGACAACATGTGCTGCTTTAAAACTTTGATAACCTAATGGAGAAGGTAAACAACCATCAAATGAATTTCAAATACCCTCAGGACCTTTTTCGATTCCTTTATTGTTGAAGACATTTCGACTTCTTACAGATGATGTAACAAACTTCAGCTGTTCCAGCCAATCACCAATCAGTATCCATGTTTAAGCCCTCATTCCTTTTTTTAATCCTTTTTTTTGTTGAATGTAATTTAAATGTGAAAGCTTTAAGCAAACATCTCGACTCGTTTGAACAGTTAGTATTTTATGAAACACTGTTGCAAAGTCTTTCCAAACAATTATTCCTATTTATTTATTTTCTATTTCTAGAGGTGTGAGACAGACGAATTCTGTGTGTGTAAATAAGTGTGTGCGTGTGTGAACGTGTGCTTCATGCGTACATCATTGGGTCAGCTTTAAAAGTGTGTTAACGAGCCACAAGAAGCTTATCCAGGATCAGACGTGACTCAACATCCCCCCCCCTTGCTCTCCTTCACACATCATACTGTAAATACTTCCTTGCTAATGCAGCAGCCTTTAAGATATTTATAGATTCATTGACTGCCATACGAGAGATTAGCGCGTGGGGTTGTGCGCCTGTGTGTGAGATCATTGTCTCTGGCCTTCATTGACTGCATCCAGGGCAGATCTAATGGAGGAGTTCCCCAGCTTTGATTGGCAGGCAGCCTCTTGACAACAGAGGATGCTGTCATCACCAGCTTCGTCTTATAATTACGAGAAACTAAATCTTTGTAAGTTTAAGATCTTAAACCACTTTGAGTGCATGCGACAGCAAAACGCGTGTATTAATCATTGATCTAATCTCATCACTGTAGATGTAAAACTTGATGTGATTATTATGTGATGGTGGTGGCCACATTCAGCCATGCAGACTCACAGCGTGGTTATTGTTGTTCGCTACAGAGGAGGGGTTTTATATGCAAATCGCCAGGTGCGACTGCCCCTGCCGTCAGCCTGTTTGTGTCCAAATCCAGATCTAAGGATGTGACCCCTTTGATTTTGAAAAAAACTATCACCTGACTCAAGACCATTTGGTTGAAACATTGTGATCATTAAAATGTTGGTGGCATTGAGTAAGTTCACAAGCTTGTCCTCTTTTTGTTACAGCTTTTTTATTTCAAAGCCTTTTGTTGTCAGATTTTTTAAAAAAAAGTCTCTCTAAATAAAAATGGAGTTCAGGTTTATCGAACTGCTTGTGTTATTAATAAACTGTCATTAACGGCCAGCCCCCCCCCCCCCCCCCCCCCCCCCCTCCCTTACAGCCATCACATGCTGCTTGATCAGTAGTTTGGCTCCTGAATACAGTTTCCTTACTTAACAGCTGGTACATAAGCTGGTTTTGGTTTCTGTAGCTAATTTCTAATTGAACTGAAATAACACTTCATTTCGTACACAAACAAATGTGGTATTACACACGTACACACACACACATCCCAATGAGTCAATAACACGAGTGTCGCCACGTGTGGCTTAGAATAGTTGAGTGAAAGCAGCTTAGTGAATCGACAGAGAGCCTGTTAAAGTTAAACCAGCAACAGGAAACAACGGATCATTACTAAACTGGGTCCTGCATGTGTGTGTCAGCAGGTGTGTGTGATCACAGGGGTCAGCTGTGGCCCCTTTTAGAGTTCCGGCGATACAGAGGAGGCAGCCAGTGTCTGATTTTTTTTTTTTTTTTTTTTTTTGCCACCAGCAGATATTTTATCAGACATAAATACAGCCACCAGATTCCTCAACATGTGTTAGCCACACACTCTCAGCCAACCACATTTGTGTTTTTTGAAGAGCCTCAGATTTATCAGTGTAGTCTATAACTTACTACGTTGCCTCTGACCCCAGTTGAGTGTCTGTGTTGACACATTGTGTCATCAGCTGAGTATTTTATTCTCACTGGTCCTCAGAGTTTAAAGGGTCATCCTATATTCTTTTTTTTTAGAGCAGGGCCTTTTCAGGGATTTGGGGTTAAATGACTCACAGGCGCAAAAAAATGTTTATTCATCGTGTGTTTGAGCACTCAACCTCAAAACAGACTGCAAGCCAATTCTTCGGCGGAAAATCTCCAAAATAAAGTATGTCCAATTATAAGTGCTAAATTTGTCACCGACAGCCTCTGGTGATGTTTCTAAGTAATCTTCTTTGGAAAATCTACAAATATACAACCTTTGAGTTTCAGAGTGAGAGACTCATTTTAATCACAAACAACTTTGAGAAGGCGCTCTTCAAAGTTTAAAGCCACCAGACTCCATCAACAAAAACAATTTTATTTTGAAACATCAGAGAATACAGGAGTTCCTGGTTCTGCTGCTGCCCTGTCTGTTCATTATGTATTTGAAATGGTTCATTCTTCAGATCGAACACAACAGTTGTGTAAAATGTCTTTGCCAAAGAGGAAGTCGATGCTAGTGGTGGACTGGCAACAGCTGGTTCTGCGAGGTAAAGGAGTCTTTTTGTCAATGGAGTCTGCTGGCTTGGAAGAGATCGATGAAAACAGTTTTCAGAAATGTTATCGCCCTTCAAAACGAAAAGACTGATCTCCATTATGAGCCTTTTTTATAATAAGATAAGATATCTTTATTATCACTGTACAAGTACAATGAAAAATTGTTGGAGCAAGCCTGTAGATGCCTGACAAATATACAAATACTAAAACCAAATATTCAAATAAGAAATACAATTAAATAATATAATATAGCATACAATATACAATTAATTTGCATTAATGTTGTCAGATACTAAGAAGTCTTCTGAACACACATAAATGAACACTAAAGTTCTTACAAGTATACACAAGTTATAATTGTGGATCACCTTTGTAAAAAACACCAGATAGATATGGCTCCTAACAATCCTTTGAGGAAAACCGGAAGCTGTAAGTCTGTGTTTTTGTTACTTGAGATGATGATGATGATGATGATGATGATGATGATGATGATGATGGGCTTTGTGACCGGGCAGGTAATCCCCAGTGAGCAGCTCTGTGACGTCCTTCTCTTTGAGCTCACTGAGTGGATAGAAACTCTGTGGATTAGCTCTCATAAACACAAACACAGCTAGGAGCGGTCGTTCACATACTCTCTGCCTGCTCAACAACAACCGACTGCCTGATGAGGAGAGATCACAGCACAGATACACATAAGACTGAGTCTTCTTTTAGTAAGCTGAACGTTTTCAGCCTTTTTCTGTCTTTCTGCACATTTCCTGACTGTGACGTTTCACTTTTGGAAATGACTGTCATCTGTTTTTCTCAGTGAGTATTTCTGAGAGTTGTCTCCCTGGCACCTTATCCTGTAGAAAAAGACATCCAGCTAAATACTTTTTCTTCTTTTTGCAGCGTGCCCACCGTCCCAGTGAAGAACCTCAATGGATCCAGTCCTGTTCACCCTGCACTGGCTGGTAAGAAAACACACAATATGCTGCTGTTCATTAGTGCACAAAGTTCAAACTTTGATGAGCTTCTTTTGTTTATTTCACAATAAACAAGAAGAGAGGGAATGACCCACTTTCTCTCTGCTGTGTTTCAGGGATCACAGGTATCCTGATGAGTGCTGCTGCTCTGCCGGTGTGTCTGACCCGGCCTCCTAAACTCGTGCTGCACCCTCCGCCAGTCAGCAAAAGCGACATCAAACCCGTGCCAGGCTTTGGTCACTGCTGCAGGAAGACCACCAAGAAGCAGGCTCGCAAGGGTGAGGAAGAATTTGTGTTTCCTGTTTGAAACGTCTCCATTTTAAAATCCTGTTTTCCGATAATGACGGTCCAAAAGCCTCTGAGTAAGCTGCATTCATGATAAACCAACAGGTGTGACACTCATTTTTAAAAACCTGTTTCCTCTCTCTTCTCTCTGCAGGTAAAACTCCAGAGGAGGTGGTAAAGAAGTATCTGCAGAAAGTAAAAAGTCCACCAGAGGAGGTATGACAAATATATGAATCTACAGCTCGTAAATGACAGTATCATTACAGTATTTTTAAACCTATATGTTTAGTTTTGTACTGTGTGTGTGTGAATGGCTTATAGGTACAGGTAGTTTTGGAATGACTCCAGTAAATCTTATGACACTCATAGTCTGAAAATGTTGCAGGAAGGATCCCACAGAGCATTGCCATCTGTGAGCTAGATCCTTATGTTAGATCAGAAGCACCTTTTACATCGCTCCTTGTTAAGGAACCAGACTCCATTGACAAAAACAATCATTTTATCTCCCAGAACATGGCAGCTGTTTGTAAACCTCTGTGTTCATCTGCACGTTCTTTTTCTTTGTTATTGTGTATTAAACCAATCATTCCTTTGATCAAACTAACCGTGTATTCAGAAATTAAAATCACACAATATCAGATTTTAAAAAACTGATCAAGGATCCGATAGACGAGTTAAACACATTCCCCAGGTAAGAATCGTGGCTTTTGTCAATGCAGTCTGGTCGCTTTAAAAATAGGTCTTTGCATGTTTTATGAAGGATATTTATCTTTAAAAGATGTTCTATCCATAAAGTGATACTTTGGTTAATAATGTTGTCAGAAACTGTGGTGACAATCTGAACCTGTCTGTGGCAAAAACATGTTCACTTATATCACATGAAGTTGATTTCACATTGAATGGAGGGATAACGTATGTGTGTTTTCCTCGTCTCTCCTAGGACTGTACAATCTGCATGGAGCCGTTGGGGGGTCCGTCTGGATATAAGGGTCCAGGGGTGGGGCCTGTGTCTCGGGCAGAGTCAGTCGGCCGTCTAGCGCAGTGTGGACACCAGTACCATTTCCAGTGCCTGGTGGCCATGTATAATAATGGCAACAAGGACGGAAGGTAAGTTGACCACAGAGAGAACGTCGCACTTTATTTTCACTCTAATCTGCAGCATTATGAGCACTCGCTTTAATCACACAAACGTCTCTTTAGTCTTCAGTGTCCAACCTGTAAAACCATCTACGGCGTGAAGACGGGCAACCAGCCGGCAGGGAAGATGGAGTACCATGTCATCCCTCACTCTCTCCCTGGACATCCCGACTGCAAAAGCGTACGGATCATCTACAACATACCACCAGGCATTCAGGTACTCCATGAAGGACTGTGCTGTTGGTTTTATTCTTGTATCATGGGTGAAATGGGCAGATTTGTTTATACCGCTGGAAGACTTTGAAAAACACTGAAGTCTGAAACTCTCTCACATGGAAGGTCTTTTCAGTCACAGATAAAAGATGTTCAAAGCCTTGGTGTCTTACACATCAGCCTTTGGTTTGCTGCTTCCTGTTTGGTGTTGCAGAGATAGTTCCTATTGGTTGTTGGAAATGTTTACCTCTGACCTTTACTTTAAAGTCTTTTGATTTTATTGGAACATCAAGAAAAAAGGACTGATTAGCATCTTATACCAAACAATAGATGTGAGGCTACAGTTTCCTCAACATTTCATGAATTTGTTCCAACTTTGAATTAATACTAATTATTTCTTTATCAATAGAAAAAGAGCTTGAAAATGTATTTTGTCTGAACTCGTTTTTTAAACCTGCCCTTGTCCTTACAGGGACCAGAGCATCCCAACCCAGGGAAGCCCTTCACTGCCAGAGGCTTTCCCCGACACTGCTACCTCCCAGACAGCGAGAAAGGACGCAAGGTATATATAGATCTGTGCTCAACCCTAAAAACCCTGATTGATGCTTTTGCTTTTTAATAATATCATGTTTTGGATTATTTCCAAAAAACCTATCTGTTTGATTACAGCCTATAGTAAAAGTCAGTAAACCATAATACCTGATGAAAGCAAAATGTTGTTGTATGTGAAAAATTGCAAAAAGGAAGACATGACATTAGACATTCTCACTTAATTTCACTGAATAAACACTTACTACATATTGATCCAAGAAATTATTACCTGTAGAAGCATGGACAGAGTATTTTTGATAACTTCTGTTATTTGAACTCTGCGGACAATTTAGTTTTTAATATACATTTTTTTTATAAAGTGCAAAAAGAAAAAAATGCAAAGCCTTAATTGGTATTCCCTAAAGTCTATGATTTGTCCTTATTGTGATACCGAATATTGGAGAAATATGTAACTCTGACCCCTAGTGTTAGAATGGGGACTGCAGTCCTAATTCAAAACATGAGAGAGAGCTGTCTTCCCAAGCCCCCTCCTCCCTTTAGTCCATCCATACTGACCTCTCTCCATTTTTCAAAGTATTTATCCTATTTTTACCACATATTAGGTTTAACTAAAGTATGGGTCTCCTAAATGTAAGTTAAGTGTTCTAGCTATTACTATTTTTGATCCTAGATTTTCAGAGAATTATTCAAATAAGAATTTCTATCGCTGGGCACAGGACGACTGTTTTCATGAGTTTCATACAGGTCTAAGTATATTTAAACCCATCCCTGTCTCACCTGTCTGCAGGTACTGAGACTGCTCCTGGTAGCATGGGACCGCAGGTTGATCTTCTCGGTTGGTACTTCGAGCACTACGGGAGAGTCCGACACCGTCATCTGGAACGAGGTATGTTCACAAATACTATAGAGTAACAGAAGAGAGTGTCATAAATAAGAGATGTAAAGAAACAGTGCAGAATAGAATATCAATAGAAGTATGGTAAATAAACCCATTCATTCTGAGAGGGGGAATTCAGGAAGTTCAGAAAGGAAGTACAAAAGTAAGTTAAGTAGAACAGTAGTAATATACATTATAATGACAGTGGTGTCATATCAAAGCTATGTTGCTTAGGAGAACATTAACTGCTCATTTGATTTTAACTAATTTGATAAACGATTCATTGTTTTGGAGAAAAAAATGTAATAAGCTGGTTCAGCAACTTAAAAGTAAGGGATTTGCAGCTTTTTGTTTTGATGTAAAAAAAATAATCTTGGAGTTTTGACTAGAGAAGCGATTTGAACACACTCATGAAATTGTGAAGAGCAGCTATTCACAAATGTATTGCATCTGACAGACTGAACGAGTGATTGATAAACCATACAAATGATTAACATATTGATAGTTTATGAAAATATTGCAGTCCTATTCAAATTGTCACTCACATGTTTATTTGGTTGGATGTAGTTTGTATTATTTCCACATGAGCTTTGTTGTCACTGAAACACAAGCACCTACCTACCTGCCTAGCTATCTTATCTATTGTAATAAAAACAACATTTTCTTGCTCCATTGTCTTAGGTCCACCATAAGACGGAGTTCGGCTCCAACCTGACGGGCCACGGTTTTCCAGACCCCGGACACCTGGACAATGTCCTGGAGGAGCTCCGTGCTCAGGGCATCACAGAGGATGACGCAATGATGGAAAAGTGAAAGGATGAGTTAGAGAGAACGAGGATACATCCGCCTGAGAGGAAAAACAGAAGAAACTAAGACGGCGAGAATTAAAGTAACAGCAGAAGCAGCCGAGGGAAGAAAAGAGGAAGAGGTCCTGGACTGAGACAGACTCTCTCTGCCAGCACTTAAACAGAAGGGGGGGATGCGGGGGGTTGTAGAAGATTGATTTTGTTTTTGCAGAGGTAACTACTTTTCAAGATGTCGATCGTGTCACTGCTGACAATGTGAGTCGATCCAAACAGCAAAAAGAAATGGAGGGGGGGGGATGGGGGTTAAAGGGAGCTGCAGCACAGACAGGAAAGCAACAAAGAGGAAGAGGGTCACACTCATGGTTTTAGCCTCTAGAGATAGGTACTTAACATGGAGAAGTGTGAATGAAACGGTACTAACATCAGGACAAAAAAACAAGTTTACTTTACTGAGAGAAAGAGAAACCAAGAAAAGATGGCAAAATGTTAGAGCAGTTCAAGGAAAACTGAGAGAGAGGGGACAAAGAGAGAGAGCAGTCAGAGCAAATGGGGAGTGAGGAGGAGGGGGGAAGGAGAGAAGGATTGATGTAGCAGAAAGATGGAAAAGATGGTGCATGAATGTAGCGTAGGATATGAGTAGGGTAAAAATTAACTTGTACGGTACTTTAGAGATCGCTGTTAACACAAAGAGACGGTCTGTGTGTGCTTTGAAACCACCTGCCTGCATGTGGTTGGACTGTGGTGCTGTTGCTCCCTCTTGTGGTGAAACTGCAGGAACTGCATTTTTGTCTGGAAGCTACTGCAACAAATCCAAATGTTACTATGAGTTTTATCTACCTTTTGTTACTTTTTTTTTCATCACTGTTACTATAACCCTCATGTAACATCATTCCATACTTTACCTCTTACTTTTGACTCGATGGGTTTTTTTTATACGACCTGCATATGTGACATGACAAAAGACCAAACGAAGGCTGAGTCACTTTGGGCCTATTTGGAGTCTTACTTTTGAGCCACTGCGGTACAAGTTAACCATAGATACACACAGGTACCAGTATTTACTGATATATCTGTCTTTTATTTTTATTCTTTTGACGGTTCACATGTATATCATTGCTGTTGTGTTCCCCCCTAACAGGGAGACACCGATATGAAAAAATTAGCTGACATTTGAGGGGGGTTTGATACTGGAGCAAGAGACCTTAAGATTGGGCAGAGTGTTGGGAGTCAGGGGAATGGAGAGGACAGGAGGTAATACATTAACTACTGAGACAACGCAGTGTTTAAACGAGCAATGATACAATCCTGCTTTTACCATCATTAATACTGCACCACCATTCATCAAGATTACAAATCCAGACCCTTAAATATCCAAGGAACCTGCCACCAGTCATATTCTGGTGAAATACAACGCTTAAAAAAGACATCAAATGATGGTCCCATGTCTATGCCACAGAAGAAAAGCTTCTTTCTTTTTTTTACTTTGACTGGATACAAAAAGTGTTTGATGCTGTTTTGGGAAATCTCCTGACGAGCTATTTCCTCATCCTGTTGACATCAGTTAAGACTTTTATAAACCTGCATTGTGAAGTAGGTCTTTCTGGCATCTTTTTTAAAATATGTACAATCAAATCTGAGCCACAGTTCTTCATGTTTTGCATCATAATGCTGTATTCTGATTCTAGATGATCAGTGGCTATATGAAGTGAAAGTGCCACTCACTGGAGACAGATGAACATGTGCTCCACACCTGAGAGAAAACACTTGTAGTTTTTGTCTATCACAGTAATCCTGTTGGATGAGACCAGCTAACAGGTTATCACTTTGGAATTGGTCAGCCTCTAGTAGCTCGATGTGGTGAAGTAAATCCAGACAAAGTTTCCAGAGTGTGTTTCCAGATTAGAATAAATTCACTGACACCACTCTAACTGGTGTTACAACATATCTGGTCGGACAAATACTGGTTAAATACTAAGTGGTTGTATTCAATTAAAAACAAATAATTATAAAAGATCCTGCAGTTGAACTCGCACGCATGAGAACATAGCTTTACATGTAATAAAGGATTAACTAATGATTAGTAAAGACTTAGAAATATTCACATTTTGACTGTCAATGTCAAATTTCTGATGCTCAGTGTTACACATATTTCAAGTAACTCAACTGTACTTGCTCCTGATTGGCTTTCGCAGCATCACAATGCCTGTGATAGTTTGAATTGACTGGATCAATATTCTGACAGATCAGCTGCTTTTCTGAACGATGAAGAGTAAAAACGTAACGCAAAGCACCAGAAGAAGCATTCTGTGACGGGTACAAAAACATGGGACCTTTAATTGATCACTTATTCGCTCATCCTTAATGAAACCAGACGTATTTGTTTGATCATAAATAATGTTCAAGTCCCTCCTCTTCTTTTCTCTACCTCGCTTGACTCCTCAACAAACCGCCCAGTCTCTGAGTTGGGTCTGTTAAAGACTCTTTATACATCGCTACAAGACCTGTGAGTGAGTGAGTGTGTGTGTGTGTGTGTGTGTGTGTGTGTGTGTGTGCGCGCGCGCGCGCTAGTGTGTGAGATAAACTGTGTACTGTGTATACTCCCAACAAACCACCGGTTTAGGGTATTATTTTGGTACTCCATGAAAATCCCATCATCTTCACACTGTGATGATGACTGATGATGGCTCTCTGTACGGTAACTTTTTAATTATGTTCTTGTTTTATATTAAATATCATTACACCTTTTCTGTTTTTAATAGCATTTTCCTTGACACTATAATAGATTAAATCACCTTTTTCATTTTGTACTTTTATCTTATGATAAATATGTTGTTTTGTTTTTTTCCATTTGTTACTATTGGTTTACAAAGACAGTATTGTGAAATACAAAGTCTTTTTTCATGTGTACAGAAGTTAAGCTGAACTGAATTGTCTTTTCTTTGGAAAAGGAATCTGATGGTAGACTTTTATTTGAGTGTAAAGTGTAATGAATTGTAATAGCAAGTAAAAAGAAAAAAAACCCTTGTTGCTCTTCTGTGAGGTAGAAATTCATTTTTCCAGCTGTTGTCTGTCCTGCTTCTGTTCTGCTCCGAGGCTCTAACTACCTGGGACGTTTTCACAGCAGATTAGTTGAATTATCATCCAGATTTTGGACTGTTGCTCATTTCCAAAGCTCTCGAGGAGGAATAGGGTCTACTGTAAGAAAGAATAAATATTCAATTTAATAAGAAGGAAGATTTTTTTTAATGCAATCTGAGAAATGTCCAAACACACTGTCCCTTACTTACATGACAACCTTTACCTTTTAAGGTTTTAACGCTTAGTTCTCAATAATATTAATTCTTTGTTTTTACTCATCACAACAAACATAATGAAAAAGTTTTAAGAAAGAAGTTAAGTCTAAATTCTGATCAAAACATTTCGAGTCTTTTTTCAAGGTTTGATCTTCATGCCCCACACGTAAAAACAATTATTGACATTACTTTAAACTGTTACTAACTTTTCACTCTACATATCTTTCAACATGTTTGATAGGACATTTATTCTTGGCACGTTTCCTCAACTTAACAAATGTATTCCTGCATTACAACATTTAAAAAAATCTTTCTTACACTGTGTCCTAACGACTCTGTATTTAGCAGCAGAAGTGCAGGTGACACAGTGAAAATGAGGTTTCTTCTTTTTAAAACATTGTTCACATTGTTTCCTTTTGTGTTGTTGCAGTTTTCTTTCTCTGTCAGGCCCAATCTCTGAACGATGACAGCATGTTTTCAAAGCTAATGAAGTCAATTGAGTTGCAAAACTACCGTAGTCTTATTTCCCTTTATTTTCTAAATTGGATTTTTTAAGTATGATGATTATGTTATTTTAAGAAATATGAACACAAACCTCAGTTATCTTTGAAAGAGGCAGATTGTTCATAAAAAGGTTTTGATCCATTTTCAGGGTCTGATGCCGTGTTAGCAATGTAGCAAACATCTGTGACTAATAATTCAGAACTTCAGTTTTGTTGCATTTTTAAATGTCTGTTTCTTTCCCTTCATCAATTCTCATCCCAACTGAAGACAACATACTCCAAAAACATCTGTCAGTGAATATGATACGAGCTCAATGACTTGTGTAGAGCAGTGGGGCTGGGAAACAGATGATCAGAGGTGCTGTTATGGAGGGCTTCAACACGTGATGAAAGCAAACTGTATATACTGCAAAAGTAATTGCTAAGTATGAATGAGTGATTAATACAAGAAAAAATAAAGAATGGGTGTAACTTCCGGGCTGTGTTGTGCTATTTTTTTGATACATATCGTGAACCAAAGAACATTTTATCTTCAACCTCTTGTCTGTAATAAAGCTTCTGTTCATCATTCAGTGTTGATAAATTCATCATGAAGTACCACACAGCGCATGTCCCTTCGATAGCTCAGTTGGTAGAGCGGAGGACTGTAGGTGATAAGCGGACATCCTTAGGTCGCTGGTTCAAATCCGGCTCGAAGGACAAATTGTTTTCGCATCATGTGCCGCCATTTATTTACTGACATTTTTATATTTTTTTGAGAGGAAACTAGTTTCGCCCCTCATGATCATAGATTAATATTATTATAGTTCACACGTTCGTGTTAAAAGTAACCGAAAAAAGGACTAGTTCCCTGACCGGGAATCGAACCCGGGCCGCGGCGGTGAGAGCGCCGAATCCTAACCACTAGACCACCAGGGACATGTCGGACCGTGATCCATGACAATAGATTTAATATGTAATTTGATAATGTTATAGCCACTTGTTTAGTGATGTAGTTTGATGCTCTGAAGTGGTTGCTTTACTAAAACATTTATGACTTTATGGTCGACCTTAATTAAAGATCGCTCTTAAAATGTATAAAAATGATAGCCTATATAAATTATAATTCGAATAAGAAATGTTTTCATTGACCTTATGTTCCATGGAAACGCCGGATCAGCCCACTCTATCACCTTCCGATTGCGTTCTAATTCCAGGTAAATCGCTGGACGTCGTGTAGTAGGCTGAGCTTGAAGTGGTTCTGTTTCAAATTTCATTAAGTCAGCTATGGATCAAAACACATACACTAAATCCACAGCAAGAGGGGATCGACACTAGAGGTCGCTGTTAGCTTTTGGGGAGTAAGAAGGAGGTGGCTGAGCAAAGGCTAGCTGATAGCCGATTGGTTCGGCTCACTGACTTATAGAGTTCACAGATTGGCTCACTTGCAAACTCATCAAATCACTCAAAGACAACAACAGAAATTGAACCATTAGTAGTGACTTGATCAGACAGCTAGATATGATTGTATTTGTTATGTTTCAATCATCTTCTTTAGGCATAAAAGGAATTCTAACCATCTTTCAGTAACTTTATATCTTGAGTTACACCTCCACTACATATGTTATTTTTAAAATAGAGGAATGTTTTTAAAATTAAAGTGTCATAGTTAAACCTGGGCTACACTTAGCAATATCATCAAGCAGGCGTCCTAAAGAAAAAATTTTTACCCAGCCATTCGTTCCACTCTATCACAATCAGGTGATCTCTTAGCAGGTCCTCGGTGCGATTCCCCGAGTCTTCCGATGGTCTCCTTCTAGTCAACATTAACTTAAAGGTTTGTAAAATATAGTGTTTTCAATACTGTTATTGGTGTGCAAAAGAATTATCTTCTATAGGTCATCTATGTAACATTTGATGGGGCGCACAAACATGGCGTGGATAATGCTTTTAGATGGTTAACAAACCAATTAATATTCATTGATAAAATATTAATTATCTATCTAAAAAATATTTATAGATGCTTTACAAAGTATCAGTAAGGGATTATAATCTTCAGTTCCAACTTTATAATAACCATCCAAATAATGTTAATAGACGCTTTATAAAATATTTACAAACCATGAACAAATAACCGGTCCATGTATCTCTGTAATGTTTATAGATGTTTTATAAACCATCTCTTAAAGGTTTATAAATCATTTGGTCATCATTAACAAACACTTCATAAATTGTAAGGAATGTAATAAATTGTTAACACAACATAAATTACATCATTACAAATCATTAGCAAACATTATTTACTATCAGTTCATTGTTTGTTAACAGTAAATAACTATTAACTAATGGTTAATTAACTATCTATTTACCCTTATTTACCCTTTATAGATGATGGTTATTATAAAGTGTTACCATGGTGCTTTGTCAATGTCGTTGTTTTCCTGTAAGTCATCCATTCAAGAAACTAGAGCTGGTCCCTCAGGAGGGCAGAAGAGGTTATATGTGGGTACGGTTTAGTCTATAGTTGTGCTTGGGCTCTACACACAGCAGACACTATATTTTTACAAACTCAGAGCAAACTCTGATACTAGAATATATTTAATTAAACGTAGTCCAGAAAAAAAATCGACACAGCTGCATTTCCCAAATGCAGGAAGAAGGAGTGATATTCTGTCCTCAATGTGTTGTGTGTGTTTGCACCAATCGACAGATAGCTAACAGACTTTTGGAGAAATCAAGGGCTGGAGTCAAGTCAAATGCTCTTTACTGTTGTCATCATTCTCTTTCGTTTTTAAAAGTAGACGCTATTAAAACAACATTTCATGTTCCACACAAACAAAGGCAGCTACAACGTTTTGGTGTACAAAAATCACATTCCAAAGAATAGGCCAATATTCAAACATAACTTGTAAAAGAGTTACAAAAATATAAGCGGCTCACTGCAGCATAACAAACTGTACTGGTATAAATGCAACAAAGTTCTTCTAATCAGAAAGAAGAGTGTTAATCATTTCTGGCTTATTGATGTACTAATGGTGTTTGATCCT